AGTACCCACAGTCAGTGGCCAGGCTTCAAACCCCTTTTTATTGTACAGCAATAAAGGAATGGAACAGACTGCCCCACATGTCAAAGACAGTCATGGGCATGAACCAGTTCAAGAAGAGTGCCAAAAGGTGTCTGATGAATGTAGCTACAGAAAGGGAGGGGAATGATTTTCTATTTTTTAGCTACATACGTAAAAATTTTTTCCTTATTCTTAGTAATGACCCTCGTATTGTAGATAGTCTTAATGACCTTGGTGTAGTAGATAGTCTTTTTAGTATGATAATAAGATGTTATCTTCATTGTAGAATAATAAGAAAATATTATAACCTTTATATTATAATAATAAGGTAAAAGGACCCCAATGGAAATAAGTCACTCTGTCTGACTTTTTTGGGTTATCCTAGGTTCTCTACACACATGCTGCTATGTATGATAATTCTATGTAACTGTATTTGTGTATACCTGAATAAACTTACTTACTTACTTACTTATCATACCTTGTATATTTATTTATCTTCTTTTTCATAAAATATGTATTACTTATTACCAAACCTCTTTCCACACATAGCTCAATTAACCCTTTCAGGGTCCGTCCCATACATCTACGGCTTCACGTTGAGTGTCCAAACCGTAGATCTACGCCAAAATTCTAGCACCATCAAATTTAGCGCGAAAGCACTCATAGGCCTACATGTGAGAGAACGGGTCTGCGTGGTGGGTGTGCGCCATAAACAAAAAATCTAGGCGCCCGCATAGCATTGTGGGAATGCCGGCTCAGTTACCCTTGTTCACCATGCCTCGCCGCAAGCCAGCTCTCACTCCCCGGAAAATTGGGACTCTCCTCTTCCTATCTGATAGTTCTGACACTGATGGAAGGGGAAATAAAGACGAATTCTATGGCTTTGATCAGTTAGTGACCAAAAGGGATGACCAGGATATCGATAATAGTGCCGAAAACCCTGACGATCCTCAACCTTCTACGTCTGGTGTGGGCACTCGTGACTCACGGTCGGTTGTACCTCAACGCAAGAGAAAACTAATATTTTCGCGTGGCCAGGCCTCTGACTTCAGTAATGATGATAGTGATGTGGATTGTGATTTTATTGCGCTTGACGATCATTCGAGTAGTGATAGTGAGGAATCATATTCACCAGTGAAGCGTCGGTATGTGCGCCGCCGCATGCGCTCGGGTAGTGTACCCTATGCTGTGCCCAGGGGACGGAGTACATTCCGGAGTACATCCCGTGGCCCTACACCAGGTTTAGATAGTGAAAGGGGGATGTGGCTTTCACTTGGCATGGATAACCACAGGCATCAGTAGATGGTGGTAGTGGTGATGGTAGTGGCACCGCCATGCGTGACTCACCACCCAGGCTGGACCCACGCTGCTGACTCAGTTCAAGGACAAGCGGAGCATCCCGCCACCAGCCCACCACAACCACAACCACCCGCACAACCAGCCTATGTGCGCATTTTCCACCAGCAAACCGTATCTGGGATTGGCAGCAAAATCCCAATTTTGTCCCAAGCTCCACCACTTTGATGACTCTCAAAGTGGAATTCTACCTACTTGTCCCCTTGGAACCACGGCCAATGAATGGAATTCTTTGAATTATTTTTTGACCAGCATTGATGGAAACTATTGTCAGGGAAAGTAATAAGTATTTGAGTACACCATGGCAATTTCGATCATATCACCACATCAAGACTACACAGGTGGAAAGAGACGACTGTCGCAGAAATGTATTTGCTTTTTGCAACATTAATGCTTATGCCTCATGTCTATATGCTTTTAGCATACTGGTCCACAGATCGGCTAATTTCTACCCTGGTCTTCAGTGAAATCATCCCAGTGAAAAAGGTTTATCTTACTGTTACGTATGTTGCACTTCTCTGACAAAACCAGGCCTGGCAGAAGTGACAGGTTAACAAGATTAGAAATGTTTTCATGTATCTCAAACAAAAGTTCAGCATATACTTTTATCCATTCAAGAATCTTGTAATTGACGAGTCTTTGATTTTGTTCAAAGGTAACTGTCATTCAAGCAGTATATACCGAGCAAGACGAAACACTTTGGTATAAACTGTTTGTACTCTGTGACTGTGACAGTGGCCTGGTGTTGGATATTGTTGTATACACGGGAAGTAAACATTGAAAGATACCAAGATGTTATTGGGTATCTCAGGTGACGTAGTGAGAAACATGATGGCATTTTTATCTTGGTAAGGGCATACATTATATACCGATAATGGGACACAGCCCATTACTCAGTGATTTCATGCAAGTGAACAAGACAGTGTGTGTGGCACAGTGCGCTCTAATCGTAAACTATGCCCAGGGTCAACGCAGGTGCTAGTGGTGATGACGTGCAGGGGTTTTTCTGCCAATGACATATGGCATTACGGTGGCATGACAAACGAGATGTCACATTGTTGACAACCATTCACCGTAATGAAATGCAAGACAGTGGCAAAGTTGAATCGAGTGACTAATGAAAAGTATTCTAAAACCAGTGACAGTGATTGATTATACACAAACATGCGCTTGGTTTACAAATGTGACATGCAGATTTTTTTGTTGGGTTTTGTTTGTAAGAGTTACAAGTGGTACATTAAACTTTTCTTCCATCTCATGGGGGTATTTCAATGCTCGGATGCATATAATTGTAGCAAATAAGACTGGCAACAGACCACCGTATGGTGAATTTTGTTTGTCTGTTGTCAGACAACTCATAATGAAGTACCAGGGAAGAACACATGCTATACAACAAGGTCCTCGAATTATCAGGATATACCCAAGCGTTTGAGGAGGGAAGGTGATCATTTCATAATACAGCTTCCTTCAACTCAGAAGAATTTGCTCAGAAGAGATGCATCGTCTGTGCACAAACAAAACGACGGCAACAAAGATGGAAAGACACTCGGTTTTGTGTGAGGAATGTAAGGTGCCTCTGTGTATGGTACCTTGTTTCAAGGAGTTCCACAAGCTCCAGCAGTTTTAAAACCAGGGCCAGTGATTGTAAATATGTAAATATATGATAGAACTTTTGTATTATACAAGATTTGTGCATGTTTATTGTAATAAACAAAAAGTGGTAAACATAATATGATAATAACTTTAGTGCAGTTATTTTGTTCAATACAGTGAGTTTTTTATATATACATTTTTATACAGTATTGGTCTCTCAGGCCCCAAATGTTAGTGGGAAAAGAAAAAATTGGAAAAGAAAAGAAAAAACTACAAAAACCGCTAAATAAAGTAATGCGCGTATGTGGAATTCGTCGATGTTGCTGCCACCACATCATTTTGGATAAACTTATTGGCACTGTATCTCGGTAAGTACTGATCATAAAAATTTTTTTTGTCTTATTACCTTCACAAAAATATGCTCTTTAATTCTGTAAGAAAAAATAATTTTTTGTTTTTTTTTTTTCAAAATTTCTTGGACACTGGAGCACCACTTCAGATTTTGGCCTTGGACCCTGAAGGGGTTAAAGGCTTCCCATTTTCATTTACCCCTGGCACCCCAAATTAACCTACTACTCCCTCAACAACATTTTTACCCACTTTAGCATTAAAATCCCCAACCACAAGCACTCTCACATTTGGTTCAAAACTCCCCATGCATTCACTCAACATTTCCCAAAATCTCTCTCTCTCCTCTATACTTCTATCTTCCCCAGGTGCACATATGCTTACTATAACCCACTTCTCACATCCAACCTTTATTTTACTCCACATAATTCGTGAATTAATGCATTTATAGTCCCTCTTTTCCTGCCATAGCTTATCCTTCAACATTAGTGCTACTCCTTCTTTAGCTCTAACTCTATTAGAAACCCCTGACCTAATCCCATTTATTCCTTTCCACTGAAACTCACCCATCCCCTTCAGCTTTGTTTCACTTAAAGCTAGGACATCCAGCTTCTTCTCATTCATAACATCCACAATCATCTCTTTCTTATCATTCGCACAACATCCACACACATTCAGACTTCCCACTTTGACAATTTTCTTCTTTTTTTCTTTTTAGTAATTACTACAGGAAAAGGGGTTACTAGCCCATTGTTCCCGGCATTTAGTTGACTTTTACAACACGCATGGCTTACGGAGGAAAGATTCTTATTCCACTTCCCCATGGATATAAAAGGAAAAGTAATAAGAACAAGAACTAAGATAAAATCAAAGAAAACTCAGATGAGTGTGTAAATTAAACGTGTACATATATGTTTAGTGTGACCTAAGTGTAAGTAGAAGTAGCAAAACGTACCTATAATCTTGCATATTTATGAGACAGACAAAAGACACCAGCAATCCTACCATCATGTAAAACAATTACAGGTTTCCGTTTTACACTCACTTGGCAGGACGGTAGTACCTCCCTGGGTGGTTGCTGTCTACCAACCTACTACCTACAGAGAATTCATAGTGTGGAAATTCGCAGAAGGTGTGGAGTTACTAAAAGTATTAGAGGGCCAAAGAGGGGTTGTTGAGGTGGTTTGGTCATTTAGAGAGGATGGAACAAAGTAAAATGACTTGGAGAACATATAAATCTGTAGTAGAAGGAAGGTGGGTTAGTGGTCATCCTAGGAAATGTCATCATTGGGAGAAAAGGGAGAAAAAAAAGGAGACATGATAATTACTCTAATTATAAGTTCATAAACAACATATGAAATCTCTTGAAATATTGTTTCTTGGAAAGTGTGTAGACTTGTTTGGAATCCCCACAGGCCAGAAGAACATGTATTAGTTTGTGTCACATTTCTCTTCAGGATACATGAGTATTGAACATTTTTGATAGAATGAACATGGAAACAAAAACAGTACGTATCACATTAATTTCCTAATGGGGGGGGGGGCACAATAATTGAAAATCATTTCAACAGGGAATGATTGAAAAGTTTCCAGTCTTATGGCTATTGTCTAGCATTCACACTGAAGCTCTAAAGCTGTGGGTTATACCTAGACTTCATAGTCAACTCATTCAAGACTAAGGCAGAATGCATGCAAAGCAGGGTATGTCAGGGCCCCAGGAGAGGTAAGGTGGATGCATTTGCAAAAATTTGCTTTCAGAGAGTAAGAGTCTGTAATTTTGCAGATTGGCCGGTTGTGATAGGAAATCTATAAACTAAGATATAGATATAAACTATGGGGCAATGGATATCTTGTGAAAGTCAGACATCATTTTTAGACACAATCTGAGGCTGTTTGTCAGAGCCCAGTGGCAAGCCCCAGAAGTGCTCACTGGTATAAGCTACTGGAAAGCTATAACATGTAAATCCCAGAGGAAGCAACCTGGAAGTACACTTGTTTTGAAGCTAAGAGAATAGCTGTTATTTATTTAAGAACAAAAAAGTGTCAGAATGTTTCACATGACATACTCAAAGGTAATTCCAAGATAACACAGCTTTTCTTGTGTATTCATGAACTTACACAGTTCTTATTTTTTCAGGTTTGTGGTGAGCACAATATTGGGCGGTACCTATCAAGGCTGGTGGAGGTAGCTACACATTCCATAAATCTTTATGAGTGCTCATCCAGTTCAGTCTTCACTGCCCAAATAGATGAACTTCTTGATCAGTGTCATTCAAAATTCACTTTAGGGAATAATAGGTAAGTAATTATCTTTCACTTTAAAGCATTTGTACATTATAAAATGATTTAACCCTTTCACTGTCTGTCCCATAATGTTATGGCTTCCAAGCCATTGTCGGTCCAGTAATACTGTGCCAAAATTCTAGTGGCTTCCAGTCATGCGGGAGAAAGCTGGTAAGGCCTACATATGAGAGAATGGATCTGAGTGGTCAGTGTGCACAGTATAAAAATAATCCTGCAGCATGCACTGCATAATGAGAAAAAAAACTCCGATTGTATTTTTGGTTTAAAACAGTGACTTTGCAGTGTATTTTTGTATGGTAATTATGGGTGTATTCTCATTTTCTGGGGCTCAAATTTGATATAATGGAAGATATATTACAGAAATGGAGATGATTTTGAATGGTTTACGGATTAAAAATACCTTGAAATTGAGCTCAAAGTAGCAGAAATGTTCGATTTTTTGCTGATGTTTTTGAGGGAAACGAATCACATCACGCTTTCCCAAAACACATCGACTGGTGGGTCTGATTGCTTTCACAAATGTGCTGATATTATGTATATCACTGAAATAGAAATACATGAAATAGAAATTTTGGTCAGTTTGAGGATCGGACGTGGCCTGAAATCAGCCGCAAAGTAGTGGACATATTCAATTTTGCCTATTTTCTTGAGGATGGGCAAGGCTTCCCAATACCCTCAGGTTGTTTTATGGGTTCTTACTAGGCCTAATTCAATTACTGGGTTGCCATAAACCATGACCAATCATACCTCATTATATTTTATTATCTGAGGAATGCAAATGTAACAGGAGAGGCCTGGAGACATGATTAATGAACAGGGGAAATGTTGTTTTAGTGCCTGGAATGTTTACAGTGTTTATTTTGGACTAATTTTTTTTTTGGGGGGGATTTTTTTTAATTTTGTGTAAAACTAGCCAGATTACTGACTGCGGTTCATTTTATGAGGTATTTCTTGAATGAGGAGTTTCTTGTACTCTATTGATAGAATGGTAGACATTCTAGCAAAATTGATAAGAATTTGGTTTTTGGAGTAATGGAATTTGCCTAAAATAGGACTTAAAATGGGTGTAATCACTAATGCATAAATTGCACCTAGACCGCTAACTTTGCGCCAGCATAATTCCATAAGTTTTCCATCAAATTTCATGCTTTTTTGTTTATAAATAAACACAATTTATTGAAGATTAGGACACTGCAAGCATAGTTCTGCACCTTTCATTGGAAATAGGCAATTACAGGTAGATAATTACCATACAAGTTTGAATAATATAAGGGGGGTAGGTATATTGACCAGAATAATAAAATTTTCCATGCATTAGTTGCATTTTGTTGACCTTCATGTTTTATTTTACTTTCCATACAAGGCTATATGAAAATCAAGTATAGTACTGTAGTATTTAAACAAGCATTGATGGAAAACTGGAGAACTGTATTTAAAAAAATCCTGTTGTTTATTGATACAGTACATTGAGGTTTATATTTTCAGTGGTACATAAAATGCATTATTGGAGACCAAGTGTATCCCTGTCTATCCATTTTTCATCTGTTCATGGAAAACTAGCAGAGCAATTTGTTATTTTTATGCATTCTTTAAAAATAATAAAGCACACATGTTTTTGAAACCATTTCTCTGTATTTACCATGTTAGATTTGTCAGCCAGCTATTAAATGAATAGCTAAAATTTATTTTTTTTATAAATTATCATTTATTTTATTTTTAATTTCAGGGAACGAACTAGCTATGTTCGTGAACTCAGTGCCAAGTTAGATAAAGAATCATATCTTGTAGGCTCAAGCATAACCTTAGCTGACCTGCTTGTTCTCTCCAATCTACTACAGCTGCGTATGTTAGAATCAGCACCTTCTAATGTTCTGAAATGGAGTAAAGGCTGTCTAGAACATCATCTTTGTAAATACTTTATTTAATATATTATAAAATTATGAAATTAAATTTATTTTCTGGTAAAGAATTGTAAGTATGAATTGTATGGGGAAGTATCTTGATGTGGCTAACTCAAGAATGTAAAGTTCCTAGAGGAAACAAAGCGATAAATCGATGATATAAACATTACGTTGCTGAATAATAGCTCAATAGTTTTCTTCAATTTGATTAGCCATTTTTTAATTTTAAGTTTTTCATTCTTACGTAAAAAAAATTTAAACCAAAATTTTAAAATCAGATAATCAACATAGTTTTGAAAAAAATATTTGTTAGTTGTAACTCTTTAAAATTTTAAATTACTTTAAAACCTCTGGTATGACCAAAATTTTTCCCAAATCTCGGGCGCGCCCCAAATTTGGTCATGCCCGAACCAAATTTTCCCATTGGATTGTATGTAAATACGATTAATCCATTCGGGCCTTTTGAACTTTATGTAAATAACCTCCATGACTTACCCCCCTGCTCGACTTCGACCATCGACTTACCCGGTTTTTTATGCCAAATTTCGGGGGAATAAACAACTATTTTTTGACAAAGTTTTTTAATCCTAACCTTACAGTAAAAATAAAATACTAAAAACAAAAAAAGTAAAGTAAAAAATGAAATCCCAAAAATAAAACAATAAAATAAATTTTTACAAAATGTTTTTTGATATTCAGAAAAAGTTCGATTTACGCCCATTTCGACTTACGACCTTTTTCTGGGAACCGAACTCGGCCCGGGGTGGTAGGTGTTTTTTTTTTTTTTTTTAAGTTTTTTAAGCACAATAAATTTAAATTATCCCATAAAAATGCAGTGCATAGTAAACTAAATGTAAAACCTTGAATAACACTGAAAAAACCCCTTGAACAGTAGAGAAAAACTAACTTTGCATAGCTGTTCTAGCCCCTCAAACCCTTTACTGTAAACATTTTTGTAAGGGGTGTCTAATGGCAAAGAGTGAACCCCGTTATTTCACCCAAATTTTTTTAAATTTTTGGGTTACAGAGCCCCTGGGTTATCGGCCGAACCCTTCCAAAAGGGTTGGGCTTAAAACCGAATAATTTTTCCCCATAAGAATTTATATAATACAAAAATTGTTCCAGACACCCAAAAATTTTAACAAAAAATACATTTTTTAAAGATTAATTATATTTTTTACAACAAAAAACAATGAGAACAAATAAAATAAATAAATGAACATTTAAACACTATTAATACCTTTTTTGAAGACCTTGTTGGTCTGGAAGGGGGAGGAGAAGAGAGGGAGGACTGATTATTGTTTGGAAGGGGAATCCCCCCATAAGGACTTCGGTTTTCAAAAGCCCCTTGGGGGTTTCTTCCCTCCCGCCTGCTACCCTCCCTGCACACCCGCTACACTCCCTGCCTCCCTTCCCACTCCCTGTTTCCCCGCTACCTCCCCGCCTCCCTGCTACACTCCTGCATGCCGTACATCCCTGCCTCCCCTCCACCCCCTGTTTCCCAATAACCCCTCCCTTCATGCTACACTCCCTGCCTTCCCGCTACAAACCCCCGTGCTGCTACACTCCCGTATGCCTGTACCTCCCTGTTCTTTTACACCCCTGCCTGCCTGGTACCCTTCCCTGCCTGCCCCCCCGGTCCTCCCTGCTGCCTGCTACCTCCCTGCCTGCCCCGTACACCCCTGCCTGCCTCTCACTCCCTGCCTTCCTTCCCCAGCATTGTGTAAAGAACTAGGATAACCAAAAAAGTGGGGTGCTAATATCCCAAAGGCCCCCCTTCCTCCCTGCTAAACTCCCTTTTGCAACTTAGTTCCTTTATGTTTGGATGAATAGCAAAGTGTCCTCCTCACCCAGGCACAGCGAGACTGATCATTTAAAACGTGAGCAACTGGGGGAAAAAGGGGTGGACGCCCCCAAAAGGCTGATAAACGAAAAAAATCCCCATAATGGAAGCAAAAAACGGCTGATAACCAATTTTGGGCCCATAAGTGGAATGGCGATAACCCAGGGGCCCCTTACATTAAAAAACACTTTCCCCATACAGGCCCAAGTTCTTAAGAACCCCAAAAAACAACTGAGAAAAAAAAATATTTTAAAAAAATCATATATGGGAAGCCTTGCTGGGTACTGGGACTGTGGGAATTGTTTGGGCACTACCTGCTGATAAAACATGCTAATCCGAATTTATCCCTAAATGTAATTACGTAATTTAGAAAACTTACTTCCAAGATAAGGCGAAACAAGCGCATCTGAGAAAAAAATTTGAATTTTTTTTTTTCAATTTTATGGGCATTTTATGTATATCACAGTTGCCCCGTACTACACTTGTTTTCTCTAAAATAAGTATGGTATCAGGGGGGGAAAAAAGAGGATGGTGTTTATCCCTTTTTCCTTTAGCGGAACTTTGTACCTCTGTCGGACCGCCCCGCATTATGCCAAATTTATTTTTTCTGGGGGTATTTATCATGTTTCTATGTTTATTGTTTATTACATCTATTGGATCAATTGTGATGGTAAAAAAGCCAATGTTGATTAGGGGTGATAATAAAAACCTAATTCCCCCCCATCATTGACCGGAATTCCCCCTTTTATGTAAACAATGTTCCAGACAGTTCCCGATTGGCTCTCGCCTGTATTAGCTCCCCCCAATGTTTTGGTACCAAATAATCAATTATTATAAGAAAGAAATACAAGAAATTTTTGAAAAAATCTGAAAAAAGACACATTGACACACATGCTAGGGTGGCAGCGTCACCCTTATGTTAAAAACTATAAATTTCCCTTTTAGGAAACATGTAAACAATGATTCTTATCAAGTTTACCAAAATGCTAGCTATTTTGCTAAAATTTGGCCCCTGTGAAAAAATGGCACGGAAGTGAAAAATTGGCCCGGCTGGTTTGTTCACACTGATTATATGCTTGTGACCAGATGCAAAAATTTGGCGAATTTTTTGGTTTGAAGATTTGTTTATGTTTGGGAAATGTTCGGCCAGAGGTTCCGTGTAAAATATAATCAACACAGATATATAAGTACCCAAAAAGTTCCAGTATTAAGTTTTAAAAACATTCCCCGCCCGTTTCCAGACTAAGTACGTACAGTCATGTGCCAGAAAGGAATGCAACCAAATTGTATTTTACAACATTTTTCCCTGATAACTGATTTGCATAGGAAAGCTATGTTTTTATTAATTTCATGACAGTTGCCTTCCATATACACCCCCATCCGACTTGACCAAGCTTGGTTCCGCCCAACCGGTCGTAGGAAAAAAGAATAAGTCAAACCCTTTTAAAAAATTTCCGACATACTAGGTAGGGCAAATGTCAAAACCTTTCCCATATAAACTACCTACTAAACTGAATGTAATGTCAATCATTATTTCATTCTTTTTAAATAAACTTTTTTTATATTTTTAATTATTTATGTACTTTATAAAAGTATACATGGTAATGATCTTATTGTAAATTTTACATCCCTACAGTATCAATTTTACTGTTATCTTTTTGTATTGTCACACAGGGGAATGGGGAATCCCAGGTAGGCATTAATGGTAAACCTTCCCTTAATAAAAAAAAAATTTGGAATGGTAAGTACCTTTTTCTTCCCTTTTTCCCATAATTTCCTTGTTTTTAATTTTTTTCGTTTTGTTTCCTGTTTTTCTTTTTTTTTCCCTTCCCTTCTTCTTTTTCCTTTTCTTTGTTTTCCCCCTTTGTTGTTTTCCCCCTTTGGTTGTCCTCCTGCGTTTTGTTTTCCCTTCCCTTTTTTTTCCCCCTCTCTTTCTCTCCTCTTTCTCTTTCCGGGTCCTCTCTCTTTCCTTCTCCTTCTTCTTTTCTCTCTCTCTCTCTCTTCTCTCTCTCTCTCTCTCTCTTCTCTCTCTCTCTTCTGTCTCCTCTTTTCTGTTTTTCCTTCTCTCTTTTTTGCTTCTCTCTCTCTCTTCTCTCTCTCTCTCTGTCTGTCTCTCTCTCTCTGTCTCCTCTCTCTCTCTTCTGTTTTTCTCTTTTTCTGTCTTTTTCTCTTCTCCTCCTTCTCTCTTCCTCTTCTCTCTTCCTCCTCTTTTCCTCCTTCTCTTCTCTCTCTCTCTCTCTGTCTCTCTCCTTCTCTCTCTCTCTCTCCTCTCTCTCTCTCTCTTCTCTCTCTCTCTCTCTCTCTTCTCTTCTCTTCTCTCTCTCCACAAAAGGTACATAAGTAATCTATTTTTAAAATTACCTGGAAAACCCCAAAGAAATCCAGACAAAGTGCTATACGTGTCTGTCCCAGTGCCCTAATTAAAATAATATTAATAATCATTATTATTTTATTACAATAATACTTTTGTTTTACTACTATACTACTAATTATTAATTAAACTATAATATAATAATCGTGTCCACTCATTACTTAAAAAATCTTGTCTTAATGTAAGTGAAGGGGGATAAACAATATTAAAGAATACGGGGAGAGAATGAGTTTTGAAGTTTACGGTTATTAAACAAACGTTGTTTTGGGGTTTTTTTGTTGTTACCACTGGGCAGGGAAAGGTTTTTCGTTCCTCGTTAAAAGCGACCAGAAAAAAACTCATATTTGTTTTTTAAATTTTTAATTTTTTGACTGTTTTTAAAAATTTTGAAAAAAAAAAACAGGATTAAGCAAATGTCTATATTTTAAATTTTATAACATTTAATGTGCCTCATGATTATTATTTTCATTATTAATAGGCATTTTCAAGACCCAAATTTAAATTTTCTGGTGGCTTGAGCAGACAAGCAGACAGAAGAAGGCCAAAAGGGGAAAAAAGGGGCACCAGGTAGACAAAGACAGACCCGGTAGACAGACAGACACACAGGTAGACAGAAAGAACCACAGGAAAAAAAAGACACACCACACAGGTAACATAAAAACAGACACACAATAGACAAAGGGCAGACACACGGTAACAGAAAGACAGACACAGGGGACAAAAGACAGACACACAGGTAAAAAAAGAAAAGATTAAAAAAGACAACACGGTAGACAGACAAAATAAACAGAAACAGTACAGACGAAGTAAAGGAAAACAAAAAGAGAGGGTTTAGGTAAAGTGAAAAAAATAGGGTTCGGGGTAAAGCCTTTTTGAAATCTCCAGTGAGATTCAGTTTCTCTTAGGGGCCCGGGAAATTTAAAATGTCTTGATGTTTTCAGTATGTTCAAAAAGGGCGGGTTCTCAAATGACGCCTGCAGAGCACCCCGGTGCGAGTTTTTAAATAGTCGCGGGGTCGTGG